AATCGACAAGTGTATAAATACAGCTGTGCTTTCCATCATCCATGCAGTCATTGGAAATCTGCTAGAAAGAATCACTAAAGGGATACAAGAGAAAACTGCAGTAACTTACTTAAACACCCATTGATTTCATCTGATACTTTTGAATGGGTTGATCTTATAAAGTATTGCCCATGTTCAGAACATAAAAGTACTAGTTCTTGAGCCATTTTTTATCTCTCGGTTTTATCATGTACAGTTGCCAGTGTCTGGAAAACAGCTAATGTAACCCCTTTGCATAAAGTGAAACATTGAATTAGATTGTTACAGACAAATCTCAAAGCTGTCACATCTAGGAAAAATCCTAGAACTTTTAATAAGTGATCAAATTAAATCCTTGCTTCAAGTGACCACCCAGCAGTCTGGTTTCTGGGAAAAGCACAGTACTATTACAGCATCTACTCTGGTTTTAATTATAACCCCATTTCCAATAAGATAGGACGCTGTTAAAAATGTAAATAAAAAACAGAATGCAATGATATGCAAATTATTCAAACAATATATTTAAATTTTTATATAATTTTTGCATTTTATATTATATTTTTGTATTCATATTCTGGTACATTATTTGCCCACATAGTCTTTCATAGAGCGGTGAACCCCTGCCCATCTTTACTTCTAAATGATTCAGCCTGTCTGGGATGTACTTTATATACCCAATCATATTACTGACCTGTTGTCCTAATAAACTGTGAGATGTTCCACCGGGTTTTTTTTTTATTTATTTAATTTGACCAGTTTTAGTTGCCCCATCACGACTTTTTTGAAATGTATTGCTGGCATCAAATTCTAAATGTGCAAATATCTTTCAAAACACAATACAATTTTTTAATTGCAACATGTGTTGTTGTTGTATTAGTTTTAACTAAATATAGGATTTAATTGATTTGCACAGCATTGCATTCAGTTTTTATTTATATTTTGCACAGGGTCCCAACTTTGTGGAAACAAGGTTTCATCTTATTACTGCTGTAGACAAATTAATGCAAAATGCAGCATTTTTTATAGAACCCCATTTCCAAAAAATTTGGGATGCTTTGCAAAATGTAAATAAAAACAAAATGCAACGATGTGAAAATCATTTAAACCACACATTTTATTGAAAATAGTACAAAGACAACAAATCAAATGTTGAAACTGAGAAATACTGTTGTTTTTTGAAAAATATATGCTCATTTTGAATTTGATGCCAACAACATGTTTCAAAAAAGTTTTTTATTATCTCTTCTTTTGACAATGTGCTGTGAGTGTTTAGGAACTGAGGAGACCAACTGCTGTAGTTTTGAAAGTGAAATGTTTTCCCATTCTTGCTTCACACAGAATTTCAGCTGCTCAACAGTTTCGTGTGTCCTTTGTTGTATTTTTCATTTCATAATGCCGCCAAATGTTTTCAGCGGGTGACAGATCTGGAACGTAGGCAGGCCAGTTTAGCACCGGACTCTTTTAATACAGAGCAATGCTGTTGTAATATATGCAGAATGTGGTTTGACATTTCCCTGAAAAAGATGTCATATGGATGGCAGCATATGTTGCCAAAACATGTATATATCATTCAGCATCAATGGTGCCTTCACAGATGTGCATGTCACCCATACCGTAGGTACTAATGCCTCCCTATACCATCATGGATGCTGGCTTTTGAACTGTGTACTGCTAACAAGCTGAGTGGTCTTTAGCTCAGAGGACACAGTGTCCATGATTCCCAAAAAGAATTTCAAATGTTGATTCATTGCCACGTCCCCTCAGTCCATTTTAAATGAGCTTGGGCCCATGAGGTGGTGTTTCTGAATTCTGTTTATATATGGTTTCCTCTTTGCATTTTAGAGTTTTAACTTGTAATTGTGGATGCAGCAATGAACTGTGTTCACAGACAGTGATTTTCAGAAGTGTTTGTGAGCCCATGCAGTGATTTCCACTACAGAATCAGGCCTGTTTTTAATGCAGTGCCACCTGAGGACCCAAAGATCACAGCCACCAAGTAGTTTTTTGGCCTTGTCCCTTACATACAGAGATTTCTACAGATTCTCTGAATCTTTTAATGTTATTATGTACCATAGATGATGAAAAGCAAAAGTTCTTTACTATTTTACTTTGAGAAACGTTATTCTTGAAATGTTGCATTATTTGCCCGCACAGTCTTTCACAGAGTGGTGAATCCCTCCTCATCTTTACCTCTGAAAGACTCAGCCTGATGCTCTTTTTATACCCGATTATGTTACTGACCTGTTGCCAATTAACCATCAGATTTTTTTTTAGCATTACACAACTTTACCAGCCTTTTGTTGACCCCATCCCAACTTTTTTGGAACGTGTTGGTGGCATCAAATTCAAAATGGGCAAATATTTTTTTCAAAAAACAATACAATTTCCAGTTTTGACATTGATATGTTGTCTTTGTACTATTTTCAATTAAATATATGGTTTAAATGTTTTGCACATCATTGTATTTTTGTTTTTATTTACATTTTGCAAAGCGTCCCAACTTTGTTGGAAATGGGCTTGTAGATTTTTTATAAGCTTTTGAAATAGTTGATCACTCCTTGCTGCTGAAAAAGCTATGTAGTGTTGGCTTTGACCATGCTATTAAATGGTTTAATAATCTCTTTGACAGATGACAGTATATGACATTAGGGCGCTGTATATCTGAATTTTTTCCAATTTTGTACTTTGATTACAGTGTGATGAAAGTTTGTACTTGGAAGGAAGAGATCCAGTATTGAGAGAGTCTCTGAATACAAGTACAGCGGTATCTGGCTAGAAGAGAAATTGACTAATAAACTGGACAGAAACTCGGCTTCTTTAATAGAAACAAAGTTGCCTTCTCTAAACATTGCAGGAAAATGATCATGGAGGCAACTTTCTTGTTTCTTTCTTGATTACAGTGATGTGTTTAGAAATGTCTCAGCTAGCACGCTTAAGACTCTGGACTCTGTGTAACACTCTGCTCTTTATACCAGGACACTTGTACAGTAATAATCAATGTGTACTATACATGCTCAGAAGAAGGTATTAAACTGTCATAGGTGTGGTACCCTCAAGGCTACGTCTTCAGTACCTTTAGTCAGGAAACTTAATCATAAAATCGATTGCTCTTACATTTTTTAAAGTTGACTCTGAATATACTCTGTTTCCGGACTTTTTATTTTATCACTCTGTTTTAAAACATTAGATTTCAAAAAGTTCAAATATGCACCATCTCCCTGGTTAAAACTTATTGAGGGTACACAGTTGGACCTTAAAACCATTGTTGTTCCTTTGAGGGTGCATCTACACTGTTCCTTGATGAACAAAAAACATACCTGCACAGAACCTTTTTTTCTGACAGTGTGTAGATAGTTAGAGTTGGCTTTCTCTGAGTATGTGAAAGGAAACTCACTGGTTACTGACTACAATTAAAAAAAAAAAATTAATTGCATGAGTTGTTTCTCTTTTTAAAAAGGGTAGTAAGTAGGAAGGAATTACATATCAGTCTCCATCTTGTGTATTATTTCCAAAATTAAAGAAAATATCATTTATGAGCAAACTGAGGAATACATCACAAGGCATGGATTTTTGTATGAGCTACAGTCTGGATACAGAAACAGAAACCTGTCTGTTATATTTGACTGATCTTACTAGGAAGGAGATAGATGCAGGGCATTTCTGTGGTATTGTTATGTTGGATCTCAAAAAAGTGTTTGTTAGTGTACATCATAGCATTTTGCTGTATAAATAAAAAGCTATATGGAGATGGCTATAAAGTGGGTTAAAGTTCTACTGAATGTACCTCATCGTACACAATTGGAAGCAGACAATTTAAACAACTTCATATTCTACTGGCTGTAAAAGTGTAAATGAAATTAAGCTGAGACTTACTTATTTAATTCTTAATATATTTTTTTTTTATACTTGTAAGAGATCTTTACTTATGCAACCAGACAGAGTGCAACTAAGATACATTTTACCATTTAGATTTAACAGTTAGATCGGTAAAAAATACATTTTTATATACAGGTCCAGTCATGGGAAATAAACTCCCTACTTCACAACAAGGTTGAGATGAGTTTTAAATATGTTTTGAAGAAATGGCTGAATGTCTTAATGTGAACTGGTATTACTTTAAAGCAATTTTCTTCTATTGTTCTTGCCTAACCATTACAATCTGTCATCTTGACGTCTTTGATGAAGACCAAAATAGAAATAAGCTTATGGGCTTTATTGTGTTTTTATCCTTGATAATTTTTTAAATGCATGTAATGAATGCCTGTAATGTACTAAAGCAGTCTTATATGTATTTTATATAACTGTCAAATAAACATATCGACTTTTTACTCATATCGACTTATTTCTGTCTCATCCATGCACAATCTGACTTTTATTTTTTACACTAAAGCTTGACATGCTTGTTTCTAGTAGGGTTTTTAACGTTTAGTTGACTATTTTCAGTTTGCAGTTTTCAGGTGTTGCATTGATTGCGTTGTTTATTTTTAGTTGTTTCTAGTTAATTTATTGCCATTCTTTTATTTTCTCGCACTTTAAGCCACTTTATTTGACCAACTTAGCATTTTTTTTTGGTTTATTGTCTTACTTTAATGTCTTTATGTTTTTGTTTTATCACAGGGTTTTGCTCTTATACAAGGCTATTTCTCAATCTGTTGTCTGTTAGGTTCTTATTAAAAATAATGATTCCCCTCAATGCAAATCAGACTTTAAATAAAGTGTATGATGATGATGTTGATGATTTTATATTTGTGCTGCTGTGTCAGATTAGCATGTGTACTGCACAAAATATATAAAATCTACAACATCCAACTGTGCCATCATTGTGACTTTGCTAACTAATTTTACACGTCTTGATGGCCAACAAAATTTCAATAATTATGTACTACATGTTTATAAATTGTTTATTAACAAATGAACTGAAAGTGTTACCAGAGAATAAATCTTTCTGAGGACCAGAACGTGTGAAAGAAAGATGATCTTACCACAATGTCTCCAGTTTACAGACAGGATTCTCCAATCCAGCAGAGAGCAGCTTCATTCCTGAATCTCCTAGATTATTCCCAGACAGATTTAGCTCTCTCAGACTGGAGGATTCTGAATTGAGCACTGAGGCCAGAGCTGCACAGCTTTTCTTTGTCAGTTTACAAACTGAAAGACTGAAGAAAATAACATGCAAAATTCTAAAATTAATTTGACTAATATGAGCTCCTAATATAAAGTATTATTGCTGCAGCATTTCAAATATAGGTAGATAAAAATGAATAAACTATTCAAAATATTCAGATTATGCAGGCAATTAGTTGGACTTTGAGTGTTTAAATTTACATTTGTGTTTGAAAGAACAAAAATTTGAATAATAAAGCAGTATTACATTCTCAATATGTTTCTGATGTTATGTCAGTTTTATTCAGTATTACTTACTCAGCTGTTCTGGATTCTGCAACTACAGGCAGCAGCTTCAGAAGAACATCATCTGATCTGTTATATTTCTTTAGGACAAATTCATCCAGAATCTCACCTGATGTCAGCAGTACAAAGACCACAGCTGACCACTGTGAAGGAGAGAGTGTTCTCTGGTTTAGTTTGTCAGACTGCAGGTACTGCTGAACTTCTTCAACTAGACAATGGTCATCCAGTTCACTTAGACAGTGGAACAGATTGATGGATTTGTCTGCAGAGGGATTCTCACTAATCTTCTTCTTTATGTGTTTAACTGTTTCCTCTTTGCTGCGAGAGCTATTTCCTGTATGTGTCACTAACTCTTGTATGAGAGTTTGATTGGACTCCAGTGAGAGACCCAGAAGAAAGCGAAGGAAAAGATCCAGATGTCCATTCTTACTCTGTAAGGCCTGATCCACAGCACTCTTGTGTACATCAGAGATTGTCAAGTCTTTTCTCCTGAGGGTCCCCAGTTTAGAGGACTGACTCTCTTTAAGCACATTTGTCTTCTTGGTCATGAAGGTCAGGTGCACATATAGAGCTGCAAGATGTTCCTGAATGCTCAGATGAACAAAGCAGTACACTTTACTCTGGTGCAGCCCAGATTCCTCTCTGAAGATCTGTGTACACACACCTGAGTACACTGATGCTTCTTTAACATTGATGCCACACTCTCTCAGATCTTCATCATAGAAGATCAGGTTTCCTTTCATCAGCTGCTGAAAAGCCAGTTGTCCCAGTTTGAGAAGTATTTCTTCATCTGTCTTCTGGTTCTTTGTGTACTTTTCTCTTATGATCTTTGTCTGAATGATGAGGAAGTGTGTGTACATTTGAGTCACATTGTACATTGAGTTTTGGGGGTCTCTCCACTCTCTGCTTCACCCAACATTCTCTCTAGAACAGTGGCTGAAATCCAACAGAACACAGGAATGTGGCACATGATGTAGAGGCTCCTTGATGTCTTCAGGTGTCTGATGATTCTATTGGTCAGACTCTGATCACTGATTCTCTTCCTGAAGTACTCCTCCTTCTGTGGGTCACTGAACCCTCGTACTTCTGTCACTCGATCCACACACTCAGAGGGGATCTGATCAGCTGCTGCAGGCCGGGACGTGATCCAGATGAGAGCAGAGGGAAGCAGATTCCCCTTGATCAGATTGGTTAGCAGCACATTCACTGAGGATGACTGAGTGACATCATCCAATCTCACAGTGCTCTGAAAATCTAGAGTTAAACGACACTCATCCAAACCATCAAATATGAACAGAACTTTGTGAGATCTGGGTAGTTCTGTTTCTTTAATCTCCTTAAAACATACATGAAGAAGATCCAGCAAAGTATGTTTTTGGTCCTTCATCAAATTCAGTTCTCTGAAAGGAAGTGGAAATATGAAGTGGACATCCTGATTTGCTTTCCCTTCAGTCCAGTCCAAAATGAACTTCTGCACAGAGACTGTTTTTCCAATGCCAGCGACTCCCTTTGTCAGCACAGTCTTGATGGGTTTGTCTTGTTCAGAAAAGGATTTAAAGATGTCATTGCATTTGATTGGTGTGTCCTCTGTTGCTGTTCTCCTGGATGCTGCCTCAATCTGTCTGACCTCATGTTCATTATTGACCTCCCCACTGTCTCCCTCTGTGATGTAGAGCTCTGTGTAGATCTCACTGAGACGTGTTGGGGTTTCCTGGTTTGTTATCACCTCATTCAAACACTCAAACTTCTTTTTCAGATTTAATTTGAAGTTTTCTTGGACTTTCACTGCATCAGAAGCATGACCATGTCTGTGAGATGGTGAGACATGTGGTGAAGCACAGCACCAATTATCAGTACAATTTGAAATAAGCTTTCTAAGATGAACACTTTGCTGACTCAGTAACATTTATATTTCCCCCAAATTCACAAAGTAAATTCTCCCTTATTCTCAAATGTAACAAATCCTTTATTGTGTACTCTCTGTATATATTCTTACTTCAAATGTTCTCTATATCCTTAATGTAAAAATTAATTAAGAGGTAAAAGGACAAAATGTGTTTAAACATATTGAATGTCTCTGTGTGTTTGTTATGATCTTACTCTTCATCTGTGATGATCTCTTCTTCTGTTCTGTCTCTTGCCCCCTGCAGGACACTGCAGACACACAAATTATAAATGTTATATTCTGCCATTAAAGCATAGTCTGAATTTCAGTATTAAATCTATAACAATTCTTTTTTATAAGCTTTTTGAGCTTTGGATAATAGTGACTGTCAAATGCAGTAAATGATAGTATTATACTGTATTATAGAAAAGTACAATAATAAAAACTGAAAGCAAAACTTTTTAGTTGTTTAGTTTCTTATTCTTCGTGTACCTGATTAGATTTTATTTTCTATTAAATATTTTTTTTTTTCATTTTCATGTTTTTAAAGGTTCTTGGTAATCACATTATTTTTAATCACTTTTAATTAAAACCACTTTGATCTTTATTTTAAAAGTGAGAAACAAGCTACTTACATAATCAAAACAGAAATAAAAATAAAATTAAATCTCTCTGCTGTTAAGAACTGCAGCATAATTCAGTCTTTTTCTCAGCAATAACTCAAATCTGATTAGCTGTTACCTGTGTCCAGATAGGGGGTCTCCAGCTTTTAATGTTGGGGGAGGACCCATTGACCAGTCACTCTTCATGGACACATAGCTGGGTACTGGAGAGTCTGATCTCTTTATGTGGATTAGACTATAAATGATCAAAGACGTTTCTTCAGAGATCTACATACAGTATTTAAATTCTCTTTAAAGGAATAACCCAGTAAAAATGCTAATTAATCTAATTGACACCAATAAGCAATAATCATGATGTCACTTGTAATCTGCTGACCACTAGCTTTCCACTCATTGTTTACAGGCTTAGCATGTACGATTGAGCAAGACCTCTAACATGGAAACAAAAAAAAAATCTCTTCACAAAATACTTTAGGGAAAGAAATAAAGAAGTTGATAATCATAACAATGCAAACATAATATATTTACATTTATTAATGACACTTTTATACAAACTTACAGGTCAGGGAAGAGATATCCATCATTAGTGTCCTGATGAGGGGTCTCCATCTCTGAATATTAGTGGAGTATCACTGTTCATGGACCCACAGCTGGGTACTAGAGAGTCTCTTCTGCTAGAATGGACTAAACTCCTAAAACAAAGCACTGAAAACTTCACCAAATCCTGCAGACTTATTTTCAGTTCTGTGTCTTATGATACATGTGAGGAAAAATGTAGCTCCTTTGGTAAATACAAATGTCGTTTTTACACAGTTGAGAGATGCTCAAAGAGGTTTAACGGTATAAACACTCTTCTTACTGATGGACACCTGCTGACTCACTACAGACAGACTTAATGTTCCAGACATTAACACATATGATTATAGAAAAACTGTCATCAATATACTTACCTTCAGTTTGGTCAGTTACATTTATTTGCCAGTATTCTACTGAGGGACTGCGGTGGAGTGAGCATGTAGGAAAAAAGATGCTTCTTTTAAAAGGAATAATAAAATCCATCCTGGAAAAAAACAGCACAAAAAATTGCTAAAATGCACTACTGTGCAAAAGTGTTACTTGTTGTATTAAAGGACCATTCCACTGATTTTTCAAAATTTCTACACAATTAAGTGGCTGATATGTAAAAATTTGTCATTTATAATGGTTTGGTGTGAAATGGTTGATTGTAGATACCATGATTTCTGTACAGTTGCCATGTTTAACAAAATTATGCTCACAGAACGTTCCCCTAATGTTCCATTTTGGTTGTGATAACCAACGAGGTGTTCATTGGACAGTTCAGTGAATCTGTCCAGTTTTCTTATCAATCCCCTCAACATGAATCTATCCAGTTTTTTTAACATTCCCAGAACATTTTTCTTAATTTAGGACATTGCTAGCCATAATGTTACCTCAACCTTATTTGCAGCGACAAGTAAACGTTCTCTGAACATTATCTTTGAATGTTTTTAGAAGGTTTAAAGTTCCAGTTTTCTGAAAGGTGCAGTGTGTAATATTGAGTGGCATCTTGTGGTGAGGTGCCAAATTGCAACCAACCGAATACCCCTCCCTCACCCCTCCTCTTCCAAGCGTGTGGTAGAACTTACAGTGGCCGTCAAGTTTTCTGGTCTTGCCTGTCCCGATTTTGTGCAGCCAGTCATATATTCAAAAACACTGACATAAATCATCCTTTGAATCAGTCTGACTTCACTTATACTACTACCCAGAGCCATGGTCTCTTCTTACTCCAGACTTTCTCTCCATATATAGTAGCTAAAGCTCTCACTGCTATGAACCCTCGGAAAACTACAGGTGAGGATGGTTTGGACCCCTATTTCCTGCATCTTGCAACCCTGGTTATTTTAGAACATATTACATATATTTTTAAACTTTCTATTTTATCTTGCAGTGTCCGGAAAACAGCTCATGTTGCCAGAACTCATGTTGCCAGAGTCCTCACAAGAACCAGAAACTTTGACTATATCAGCCCAGTGTTATTAAACCTACACTGGTTGCCAGTCAAATTTCGCATGGATTACAAAATTCTTTTACTGACCTATAAAGCTCTAAACGGACTCGCCCCTTAGTACCTGAGTAAACTTTTCTCCCACTATGAACCATCAAGCCTATTTAGATCACAAGGTGCTGGCTTACTATTAGTACCTAGAATTAATAAAGTTAAATCAGGGGGGGGAGAGCCTTCTCATACAAAGCCCCCCAGCTTTGGAATAATCTTCCTGTTGATGTTCGGGACTCAGACACAGCCTCAGTGTTTAAGTCTAGGCTAAAAACGTACTTGTTTAGTCAAAACTTTGGTAATTAGTTTTTCCTGTTAGATAAAAGGTGCAGATCTGGGCGTTCATGGTCATAGAGTATTATGGTAAACTGGAAGTGTTTGTGCTGTCGTCCTGCTGCTCTCACATGTTCACTCAAGTTTGCTGACGGTGGAGCGAAGTGGTGCTGACATCTCAGGGAGCCTCATGTCTCTGTTACCTTTCTGGTTTCTTCCTCTTAATTAGGCTGTAATAACTAGACCTGCCAGAGTCTCTGCTGCACTCTGTTAATACTGTAATCTGTGATTAGTCACTCTTTACAGAACTAACTCTCTGTGTGTTTTCCTTTTCTTTGCCGAGTTGAACAGCTACCCATCCTGTGTGGTCTGATGCTGTTCCTTCTTCTGCTTTGATCAGGTGCCCACTGCTTGCCAGCCTTCTGTACCGCTTTGACCACCATTGAGCTTCATGCTGTACAACGCTGTGCAAACCTCACCCTCATGAACTGACCCTCCTGATGCTGCTGCTGCAAACTATCTAATTAACCATTGCTCCACCTGTTTTCTCTGTTTTGTATTGTAATATTTTATACTAATGCTGTTTGCTATCCGGTGTCAACCAGAGGATGAGTTTGTCTTTTGAGTCAAGGTTTTGTCCTCTTGCTCTTAGGGAGTTTTTCCTTGCCACTGTTGCCATTGGCGATGCTCATGGAGGCTTGGACCCAGATTTTTCTGTAAAGTGGCTTTGTGACAACACCTGTTGTAAAAAGCGCTATATAAATAAACTTTTTTACACTGCTTTCGACACTGTTTACACAGCTTTTTGAAGTATTAACTAGACTTCTCAAGAGCCAGTTGTATGTTAAGGGAGAGGAGTGTGAATTCCGCTTGCACTCTCGTTTCTAGGTTATATCATTAGTCCTGAAGGGACTGTTATGGATGACCACAATGCCAAAGCATGATTTCTTGGTTTCACCAACTTTTATAGACAAATTGAGGCTATAGTGGTATAGCAGCACCTGTAACTACTCTCCTTAATGGAGCTAACAAGAGACTAGTCTGGAACCAGCAAGTGCACACTGCATTTCAGGCATTAAAAGAAGCTTTCGCCTCTGCTCAAATTCTTAAACACCCAGACCACTCAGAACCATTTGTAGTTGAGGTTAACACCTCAGGGGTAGGTGTTGGTGTAGTCTTGTCCCAGCATTTAGATAACCCTTGCAAGCTCTTCACCATTGCATTTTACTTCCATAAACTAACTCCCACGGAACAGAACTATAGGATAGGAGATTGGGAACTATTAGCCATCAAACTGGCTTTAGAAGAATGTTGACACTGATTGCATGGAGCCAATCATCCCTTCCTGGTCCTGACCAATCATTAAAACCTTGAGTAAGACTAAATTCCTCTCAGGAATTTTTCACCAGATTCCAATTTAGTATATCATATCACCCAGGTTCCCATAACAATATAGCAGATTCCTTATCTCTCATGCATAGTGAAGAGGATGAGTCCACCAACATTTCTTCCCCAGAGAACATTCTACAAGTGGTAGTCTCTGCTATTTGATGGGACATTGACATGGAGATAGAAAAAGAGTTAGAGACTTCTCCTGCTCCTGCTCAGTGTCCTCTCCATAAGAAATATGTGCCTACAGCATTTAGAGATCATCTTCTTTCATGGGCACATTCCTCCTTAACTCCTGGTCACCCAGGCGAGACCCGTACCCAGCGACTCTTGTCTGGCTGTCATTGGTGGGAGAGTATGATGGCCGATGTCCACAAATTTGTGGCCTCTTGTACCACTTGTACTCAGTGTAAAATTTCCAGAACCTTGTCAGCAGGTAAACTTATGCCTCATCCTGTCCAATCACATCCCTGGTCACACCTGGCTGTTGACTCTGCTACTGACTTACCACCATCTCAAACGTACACAACAGTGCTTACAGTCATAAGCAGATTCTCTAGAGGTTTGACATGTATCCCCATT